CACATAGACCAATGGGACAGAATAGGGAGCCCAGAAATAAATCCACACATTTACAGACAACTGGTTTTCAACAAAGGTACCAAGAACATACAATGCGGAAAGGACAATCTGTCAAGTTCAGCGAACACTCTGATATTCCAAACCTTCCCTGACCTCTCAGAGGCCTGTGTTGTCATTAACACTGTCTTTTTCTTAAAATGCTCTCCTTTGACTTCAAAGATACCATACTCTGTTCCCTTTCCATCTATTTGGTCATTATTGTCTCCTCTTCATGCCTCTCATTCTGTTCTACTAGATCCCATCCTCAATAGTCAGGTTTTGTCACTGAAAATGTTCTCCCTAGGCTCACCCACTCCCTCAATTTCTACCACAATCTTGGGTATTAAAATCTTCTTTCATATGTAAAATAGAGTTAATCATAACAACCACTACTACTTAAGACAGTTCTGAGAATTAAATGAGCTAATATATGGAAATAGAAAATGTACAGAATAGGCCCTGGCACATCATAAATTAGTTATCATTATTTTTTTAAATACATACAGTAATAACTCCCCAAGCCTGATCTCTGGCCTCAATTTATTTCTTCTGAGCTGCAGAATTGAAACTTCTGAGTTCCTTCTGGATGTTAGCACTTTGATATCCCACATGACATAATTTGTACAAAGTAAAAAAAAAGAAAAAAAATTGTATCCCTTCTCCACTTAACCCACAAAAGCTGATTGTTCTCTGTCCTCTACTTATCTATTTATTTATGTACACTTTCATAATTTATTGAGCACCTATCACTGTGATATGCATAAAGATATAAAGTTAAATAAAACAGATACGTCCTCTTCCCTGTGGACCTCATAGTTTGAAAAAAACAAAAAGGCTTTGAGTAAGATCAAGAAGATGCTAAAGAGGATTAGAAGAGGGAAGCACTCCAGCTGGGGAAATGGCAAGCATAAAAACCTATTGGCAGAAAAAAATGTTGGAATATTAAGAGAGCTGAGAACGGGCAAGGACAGCTGGGGCTTAGCAAGGAAGAAGAGTGTAGCACAAGAGGTGGCCGGCCAAGTAGGGGGGCCGGATCCTAGAGGATCTCATAAGCCCTGGTGAAAAGTCTGGAATGTGCTCTAAATGTGAGTGAAAGACATTGAAGGGTTTTAGGTAGAGAAATAACACAATCCTGTTCACAGTTTTTAAAGATAATTCTGCCTGCTATGTAGAGATTTGCAAATAAGGATGAAAATTAGTGGGAAAATCAAATTATGAGACTTTATCTTTATACCAGGCAAGAGATGATGGTTGTCTGGACTAAGATGTTGGCATTGACAATAGAAGAAACATGTGGATACTGAATGTATTTTGGAAGTAGGGTCAACATGACTTGGTAATAATTTGGATGGCACAGATCGAGAATTAAGAAGGTAGCAAGAATTTCTTGTTGTACTCTGTTTAAGCTAGAAAACTGAAGTTATCCACAGTTGCCCACTCTCCCTTAACACTAACATCTAATCAGTCCTTAAATCCCATCCATCTAAGTTCCAAATGTCTCCCAAATGCTATCTCTCCTTTCTAGACACATAGCTATTCTCACTTGCATGCCCCTGACCAACACAGGCTTTCACCATTTTCCCAAAGCAGATTTGCTTTAAAATCATTCAGCAGGGGTAAGGTGTGGGCAGAAGAAGTGGGGAAGACAGATGGAACAAAAGAGAGTCCATTTGTTAAAAATTATTGGATCCGGAATAAAGACATAGATGTCCTTATAATGTTCTCTTCACTTTTGTGAATGTGTAATAATTGCCATAATAAAAGTTTGAAACAAACAAGCCAACAAATAAAAAAGCACCCAGCAGCATTCTAATTAGTTTCCCTGCTACACCTGTTTAGTCAATTTTCAGGATTTCATACAGATCAATTAAGCAAATCATCACATCCTTCCCATTTTTTAGTTCTTAACTTTCTTTTTTTCTTACAATAGGTCTTTAATCAAAGTTAACTGTTAGAAGCAGAAGATAAAGGAAGGGAAAATTTATCCCTAAGTTGATTAGAGTTCACCCCAAAGAATTCACTATAAACTCAAAATTTCTTTGAAGTATTTCTGAAGTCATGTAAATTTTACATTCTCACGCTTGATAGTCTATATCTTTTAAATAAAATCATGTCTTAAGATTTGAGGCTTTGGGAGAAAAAGAAATATGCCCTACCTATCTCATTGATCAGTGGGCAATTTGGTATTGCATTCAATTCCTAAGTGTTCATTTAAGAAATGTGCAGTGAATTGAGTAGATCTGACATCAAATACAAAGCTCAGCACGAACGCAATACTATGTCTTCTCCACCTTGGTTTTGCAACATCCAAGAACTTAAGTACTTATCAATATGTGGATAAAAAGAAAACACCTTTTCCACGGTTGTATGCCCTGTGCCAGAGTTATCACCATATCATGATGGCCAGAATGCATCTAAAGATGCCGTCTGAAGACACATCTTCAGGCTACCATGTGTAGAATCCTCATAACCTTTAATAAGGCCTCTTTTATTACCCTAATGGATAAGTGGAGGCTATCACAGACTAAATGGTGTCCTCAGTTGCCTCACCATGCCTTGACTAGTCAAGCTGAAAAGTTTCATGATTTAATCAACCTTAAAAATGCAATTTTCAAAAATCGTGATGCTTTAAAAAGACAGATTAAAGTGATACTTGAATTTAAAAGTATTTGCTTTTTTATGTGTTTATGTGCATGTATTTAAAAGGTGTGAACATTTAAACCTTATTTTCATCCAAATCTCTAAGTAAAACTGGAGATCTAGGAAGGGATGCCATTTTTATCCTGCGACTTCATATCCTTTGCTTTTTCCCTGTGGGAACTCATAGGGCAAGTTAACTACAGAGTCCATACTTCTCCATCTAGCACAGAAGGTCTTTCATGGTGATTTCCTTCCTGACTTGACAATCCCCTTCTTTCCTTCTCAGATTCTTCCCTTCCATACCTGTCGTACCAAACTCTTTCAATGTTTTCTTTACATGGCCTTTTACACCAAACTTTCTCTTGCATATACAGTTTGGCCCTCCATACCCAGGAGTTCTGCATCTATGGATTCAACCAACCATGGATCAAAAATATTCAGAAAACAAAACAATAAAAAATAATAATATAGTGATAAAAAATACAGAATAACAATTATTTCATAGCATTTATATTGTATTAGGTATATAAGTATTCTAGACATGACGTGCTGTATACAGAAGGATGTGTGTAGGTTATATACAGATACCACACCATTTTATATACAGGACTTCAGCATCTATGAATTTTCTTATCTGCAGGTGTCCTGGAACCAATGCCCCACGGATACAGAGGGAAGACTATTTGTTTTTCTGCTTAGATCTCTCTGTCTTCCTCTTTCTTTCCTGGCAAACTCATCCTTCTAAACAGTTCAAAGGTCTAAATCTCCATGAAGTCTTCTCCAAACCTGGACTCTCATGTATCTCCAAATTGTATTAATAGATTGTAACGTATCTGCTCACAGGCCTGCCTTCCTACTAGATACCTCGAGGGCAGGGAGAGGGTTTTATGCATCTATGTATTATATCTTTGTAACACAGTGCTTAGTATGTGCTAGACTCTTACTAACTTTTAGTCAAATGATTCATGAAATACCATATTTGTCCTTTGACTATGGATCATTTTTTAACAATATAGATCATTTAAAATATTTACTAACCACTTAAACTCAGAAAGTTAGAGACTAATAGAGACAAATTAAATTAAATATGTGACAGTCCATTATAAGCATATACCTAAAAGGCCAGGATAATAAAGAATTGATTAAAGCCTCACTGTCTTGGTTTCCATGCTGGGTAATCAAGTGGCATTGATCTCTTTCTCCTAGAGGTATTTATTTATAGGACAGAGTTTCATTTTTTTGTAAGCTGTAGATATAACTCTAACAAAACATAGGAAAAAAAATAAAATCATCCTTCCTGTCACTGTAAGTCTATAAACAATAAGTGATTCTAAATTCCAAAGCATACTGGCAAAAGATTTGAGGTTTTGTTCTTTTCAGAAGAACATCATAGCAAGAACAGTAATTTATTGGCTTTTCGTCTCAACATATCTAACATGACAATTCTAATCTATGGTACCTTCCAACTTACTTTATCATGGCATGGAATGAAAACTCTTCTGTTTAATAAATCAATGCATTGACTACAATCGTGCTCAGTACAATTTCTAACAGGTCTTCTCATTGTTACTTCAAATGATTTTTCAATTTCCCAGCTCTCGATAAATAATTCTATGTCTTCCATATTTGTAATAATTGTGCCATTCTGCATCCTTAGATCATCATCTGGATCTTCGTTGCAAATTCCTTAAAATATGACAGAAGGAAAAAGTTCACATAAACCAAGTGTAGGCACCATAACTAAATCAGCTTAATAACTGATTTTGATTGATTTAAAATGAATTAATTATTGAATGAGTTAACAAATGTATGTGTCCTTTAACTTTAACATTGATAGAATTTTTTAAATTATGTGCCTGATTCTTTGATAAAATAATATAGAGCTACCTTAACAAGATAAGAAAGAAATCAAAAACCTAGAAATCAAGATATATGAAGAGATCATAGAAGATCAAGAAAGAAGAGATTGATTCTGCTCCTACACTCTTCCATTATTATCACCATTTCCTAACTTCAGAACTAGTTTTTAAGCCTGGCAAGGTACTTCTCAGAATGAGGGACATTTGGTGATTGACCCCCCAGGATTCCATTCCCCTGGGAAAACTCTGCCTGAAAACATTATATTTTTCCTTTTATGAACTACCACTGCCCCATCACTTGGTGTGTGACACCACTCCAGGAAAAGGTTTTAATTGACATAAAGGTAATCCTTACTCTCTTACATTAGTTACTTTTACAGGCAATACAGGCATAAACCAACCATCTTATATCAGTCATCTAGACACATGGATTCATTCAAGATTAGGACAAGTATTGCCAAGCTCAGGACTTGAACTAGGAATTCTAGGGCACAATCTCCCTTCACCGGGATGACATGACTTGTTGATGGCTATGATGCTTTGACTTGCTAGAGCCTCTAGCTTCCTTAAGGAAGACCAGGCTGAGAATGAGCTTACTCTTCTTCATCCAGGGTAGTGTGGAGCCAAGGAAAGTACAGAGAAATTGGACCAGATCCTGATCATACTTTACCTGAATCTCATCCTACATTAAGACATAATTTTTCTTAATTCCCAAGACTCTAGGCTATAAAATATATGAATTAAAATTTTCTCCAAGCATCAAATCTTAATCTCCCAGCAGGTGTATCAGAATAAACAATGGTTCCTGCTGCCGCAGATGCCACACCCCTGTAAATGTACAGGGTACTGAACTCCATTAAAAAAAAAATTAAAAACTCAAGCTAAGTGAACTCTACTGTAAAGTAGCTACTTTTTTAAGTCCAAACTTTTCTGAAGAAAGATAATTGCTTTGAAAAATATGTTTTCATTGCAACTCCAGCCACCACTCCTGCAGACTTCACAGTGCTATGTAAAATGAGATGTCAATGTAGACCTCCCATTCTGGTATCCATGCTCAATTTGGGTCAAAATCTTATTCACTAAGAACTTTTCAGCCAGTATCCAGCCAGTGATTGCAACAGCACCCAGATTTCCCTTTAATATACCAACCACCCTTATCCTACTGTGGAGGTCGTGGAATTTAGGAGAGACCCTTGGTTAGCAAGAAAGTGATCCTAGCCCTTTCTCTACAGTGCTTAAATAAGAATCAAGTTAGCAGAGTGGCTGTCTATATAAAAGCAAGAACTTGCAGCAAAAGAGGGAAAAAACATGAAAATCAAACAAAAATTTACTGAGAAGTAATAAATCATAGAAGAATATGTGCATTCCCAAAGTCTCCAAATTATGACTCACTAATAACTATTGATTTATTATGTATACTCAATAATACCTATTCCACATGATGTGAACCATTTTAGCAAACTTTCCATTAAATGTTTACATTTTTAAAGAAGAAATTTAGGTATTTCATGTGATTTGTTGAAGGCAATGAGTTAGTCTTATTCATTTTCGAATTGTCAGCATTAAGCATAAGTGTCACATACACAAGGTAATCCATAAACTTTTACTCAATTTAGTGAGGTTAAATTTGATACATTTTTACTAAACTAACATTTGCTGATTGTGAATATTGAGTGATGTGTTGAATGTTTTACATTAACTTTCACATGTAATCCTAACAACAATCTTAAAAGTAGATATTGCTGTTCCCATTTTAAAGATGAGGAAACTAATGTTTTCTTAAGAGCACAAAACTGAGAAGGGAATAACTCATGTTCAATTTTCCAGCAGACACCAGAATGAGTATTCTTTTTGTTTTGTTATGTATCTACAGATATTTCTAATTTTTTTCCTTTGATGTAAAACTCTTTATGTATCTATGTAACATATTACAATATTAAACCTAGGTATAAAGGTATATCTAAGCTTACACTTCACAATAAAACTAAGACAAATATTCAGAACATTATGTTCTTTTAAGATAATTTAAACAACTTACCTGATTTCAACCTTTTAATAAAAATAAAGAGGAAGCAAAGATATTTAAGCCTTTTAAACTTTCTATGACTCATTTTTATGACTTGTAAATTGAGATAACACTAGCACCTACTTATTAGGGCTTATAAGAATTGAGTGAGTTAAAATATGTAAAATTATGCTGATACTTCATTAATGCTTACTAAAAATAAGCTAGTAGAAATACAAATGGTGTCCTAGTATCAGTGGTAAGAACACCCAAATTTAACTGTTATTTCCTGCTTCTTTGCCTATTTATTGAAAGCCATTGCTTCCTTCAGTATTCACATGGAAACTGAAAGTTAATATCACATCTCAAATCTGAAAAGTGGGGCCATAGGGCCCAAAATGGTATAGCGCAAACAGGGAAAAAATATTAGAAGAAACCAAGATTTGAAGAGCAGAGCTTACCACAAAGTCCTTCTGTATACGATGACAAGTTAAATTGGAAACCAAAATGAATGTCTATGATTCCTGTAAGATGAGCCCACTTTATAATTAGTCCAGCTGGAGTAGTAATCACATACATTGCACCAGAATCTTCTATGGACAGTTCCTGATTTGAAAAGGGCAAAGGCACAACAATAGAATCCACTTCTACCTAAATAATATAAATACACCTGTTAGGAAAATGTTTATTTAAATGTACACTCATTAAAATCAGGAAAATACAAGTTACTCCATTTCTTCTGATTTAGTAGAAATTATTTTTCAAATTTTTAAAAATTTTTTTCTCTTCTGCTGTTACCAAAGCTTCCCAGAACTTCTAAGCTCTTTTATTATTCCTTTGCTGTGCTTTGCTATATTCAGTATTTGTTCTAACCTCATTGCCTCTTTTTTTTATTTTATTTTA